GGGCTCAAACCCACATCCCTGAGACCCAGAGTTGCATGCTCACTGATTCAGCCAGCCAGTGCCCCTCACATGTTTCAGAACAATTTCTACATCCTTTTCATTGAATTATCTTTTCCCATCTCTTTCCATTTTCTACTAGAATCGTTGAATTTTTATTCATTCATAGGTACTCTTTATACAGGAGGGGAACTAACTCTTTGTCTGGAATAAATTGCAAATGAGTTTCCTAGTGTGGCCCTTAGATCTTTCATTTCAAAAATGTTGCCTCATTAGAGGCGCCTGGATGGCTCAGTCGGTTAAACGTCCAACTTTGGCTCAGGTCATGATCTGACACTCGGTGAGTTTGAGCCCTGCATCAGGCTCTGTGCTGACAGCTCAGACCCTGGAGCCTGCTTCAGATTCTGTGCCTCCCTCTGTCTCTGCCCCTGCCCCACACCGCACCCCCCCCCATCTCTCTCTCTCAAAAATAAACAAAAAATTTCTTAAATAATAAAATAAAAAAAATAAAAATGTCGTATCATATTGAAAAAACAGGTACAAGCCACACAGAACACATCTGCCAAATTGATTGTTTCTGAGCCACCAGTCTGCCACTTCTATTTTTAGTCATAAGAAAATAGATGAGCAAACAAAGGGAGGGAGGCTGTAAATGGCACTGACCACAGTCCAGCAGCGATGAGCATGGAACCCGCCATACCCCAGTTCCGGACCAGGGGATGATTCCTGAATACCAGTTACCCCTGATGGCAAAACATCAGTGAAGGGTGATCCATTTGTTGCTATCAAATGGCCCAATTCAGAAAAAATTATGCATGAGGCTGAGGCAATCGGAGGAAGCCTGAAAGCCTAGACCAGGCATAGGAATATCTAGGTTCTAATCCATGACCTGAACAAGCCATTTCCCTTGTCTGGGCCTGTTTTCTTACCCACACGGCGAGATGTGGCACAGAGTGAGGTGGTTAGACAACCCTAGATGACCGCAAGGCTCCCTTCCAGCTCTGGTATCTGGGGGACCTGGGGCTAATTTGAATACCCTGGGACAGCTAAATTCTGGGGGCTGTTCCTTGTTAAGAATAAGAACTTATACGTGCATATCACTTTGTAAGAATCAAGGCCCTTTAAGTTAAACCACATGAAGCAGACAAGGCAAAATTTCTCATCATCTTTAACAGGAGGAAATAGGGCCTAAGTAGATATGCAGATAAGAAGCAGGAAATCAGCAGTCTGGGGTTAAGTTCCAGCTTGGGGACCACCTGGCTAGCTCAACTGGTGGAGCAGGTGACTCTTAGTCTCAGGGTCATGAGTTCGAGCCCCATGTTGGGTGTAGAGATTACTTAAAAAAAAAAAAGAAAGAAAAGTTGCAACATAGAGACTGAATAGATGTGTGGCCTTTGGACAGTGACCTAGCTTCAGTTTCCTTACCTATAAAATGGAACAGATCAGGGGCACCTGGCTGGCTCAGTGTATAGAGTATTGACTCTTGATCTTAAGGTCATGTGTTCAAGTCCCACACTGGGCATAGAGTCTACTTAAAAATAAATAGGGGAGCCTGGGTGGCTCAGTTGGTTAAGCATCAGATTCTAGATTTTGGTTCAGGTCATGGTCTCATGGTTCTTGAGTTTGAGGCCCAGGTTGGGCACTGTGCTGACAGCACAGATTCTCTGTCTCCCCCCACCCCCCACCCTCAAATAAATAAACATTTAAAAATAAATAAAGGGGACAGATCAATTATGGTAGTGCATGTCAAGCACTTAGCACAATGGTCGTGTTATAAAATGAATGATTATGTCTCCTTTGAATTCCTATGTTGAAGCCTTAACCCTTCTACGTGGCTGTATTTGGAATGGGGCCTTCAAGGAAGTATTAAGGTTTAATGAGATCATAAATGTGGGGCCCTGGATAGATTAGTGTCCTTATAAAAAGAGACACCAGAGACCTAGCGCCCTCTGCTCTCCCTGAGCACACACACCAAGAAAAGGCCATATGAGGACTGAGAAGGCAGTTGTCTTGCAAGCCAGGAAGAGAGCTCTCACCAGAAGTCAAATCCACTGGAACCTTGACCTTGGCCTTCTAGTCTCCAGAACTGTGAGAAAATAGATTTCTTTTCTTTTTTTTTAAATGTTTATTTATTTATTTTTTTTTTAATTTTTTTTTAACGTTTATTTATTTTTGAGACAGATAGAGACAGAGCATGAACAGGGGAGGGGCAGAGAGAGAGGGAGACACAGAATCTGAAACAGGCTCTAGGCTCTGAGCTGTCAGCACAGAGACCGACGCGGGGCTCGAACTCACGGACTGCGAGATCGTGACCTGAGCCGAAGTTGGCCGCTTAACCGACTGAGCCACCCAGGCGCCCCAAATGTTTATTTATTTTTGAGAGAGAGAGAGAGAGAGAGAAAGAGTGTGAGTGGGGGAGGGGCAGAGAGAGAGGGAGACACAGAATCTGAAGCAGGCTCCAGGCTCCGAGCTGTCAGCACAGAGCCTGATGCGGGGCTTGAACCCGTGAACTGTGAGACCATGACCTGAGCTGAAGTCAGACGCTTAACTGACTGAGTCACCCAGGCACTCCAGAAAATAAGTTTCTGTTGTTTAAACCACCCAGCCTGTGGTATTTGTTGTGGCAGCCCGAGCTGGCCAAGACAGCCTGGTACATTCAATATACTTCAGTTATTATCGTTGTCATTGTCATCACTATTACCTCTCTTGCTCAGAGTCCCCCTACCAGTGAGTGAGTGGGTGGCTGAGCCAGGCTGAGGAAGCAGGTTCCTTGGCTTGCAGACTGTCTCCTTGCTCTTGGGCAGGACCCGTCCAGCTCCTCTCCTGGGGCTCTTGCCTTCATGGCTGCCTCTACTCCGTGCCCTCCACCTCACCCACAAAGGCAGGATTCACTGGGGTGCAGCCTGGGAGAGAGGGGTGTGTGTGTGCGCGCACGTGTGCATGATTCACCCAGGAGAAGGAGGTGTGTGAGGTGATGGGAAGCAGGAATCTCCTCCTCCATCAAAACCGGGGCACCTGGGTGGCTCATTCGATTGAGTGTCCGACTCTGGATTTCAGCTCACATGCTTCCAGGGTTGTGGGATCGAGTCCCCCGAGTTGGGCTCTGTGCTGACAGCATGGAGCCTGCTTATGATTCTCTCTCTCTCTCTCTCTCTCTCTCTCTCTCTCTGTGTCTCTCTCTCCCTCCCTCCCTCCCTTCCCCCCACTTCCTCTGTCCCTCTCCCCCAGCTTGTGTGTTCTAGCATGTGCACATGCATGCACTCTCTCCCTCTCGCTCTCTCTCAAAAAAAAAAAAAAAAAAAAAAAAGCAGGAAATTCTCTTCTGCCTTTGGTCCCCTGAGAACTCCTCTGGGCTGGAGGGAAGGCTAGGGGAGTTTCAGATTAACCCTCCCTGCCCCAGACCAGAACCAGCCCAGGCAGGGGGCCTAGAGGAAAACATCTGCTCCTTCCTAACCCACTCCTCCCCTCATAGATGCCCTGAAGGCTCAAAGAGGCTTCTGAACAACCTGAACCCTGCAATAGGAACAGATAAAGTGTGTTAGTACCTACAAGATACCCGTCACCTAACAGTCTCACTTTGTTTCTCAACACACAGGCAAGTCTTACAGTTGGCAGAGTTGAGTCTTGAAAAGTCAGGCCTAGAGGCCCTTCTCCTGCAATCTTTTGCCATCCACACAGACGTGTGTCTCTTCTACTGATGGTAAGGACAGAGTCGGCCTCACCCTGCCCCCATCTCATACTGCCCAACCCAGGGCCTTGCATGGTACATGCTCAATACATTTTGTAGAATGGAGGAATAAATGCCAATGATTAGATCAAAGAAAAGTAAAAAGGGTTCTCCTATTTGGGAAGATAGTGTGACCATTGCTCTAACAAACGCAAACATCTCTGTTCTTCCAACCCAGCACATTTGCTCCTGGGAAGGCACCCGACATCGTTTTAATATTTATTAGCATTATTTTTACTACTATTAACATTGGTTTATTTATTTATTTATTTATTTATTTATTTATTTATTTAATTTAGTTTAAGTAATCTCTACACCCCACGTGGGGCTCAAACTCATGACCTGAGATCAAGAGTTGCATGCTCTTCTAGCTGAGCCAGCCAGGCACCCCATACTATCAGCATTGTTATTTAAATATTACTTATTGTCCAAATATCAACTCATTACTTTTTAAAAACTTTTTTTAATGTTTACTTTTGAGAGAGAGAGAGAGAGAGAGAGAGAGAGACAAAGTGCGAGTGGGGGAAGGGCAGAGAGAGAGGGAGACACAGAATCCGAAACAGGCTCCAGGCTCTGAGTTGTCAGCACAGAGCCCGACGTGGGGCTCGAACTCATGAACCGTGAGATCATGACCTGAGCCGAAGGTGGTTGCTTAACTGACTAAGACACCCAGGTGCCCCTCATTACTCTCTTTTTAAGCTCATTTCTCTTCACATCCACTCTTATTAGCCCTATTTTATAGATGAGGAAATGGAGGCAGAAACAGGGTCAGTAGTTAGTTGAAGCGGGGATTCAAACCTGATTGTTTATATCAGATTGTAATTGTCAAAGTTCTTCACTTCTGTGAACTCAGCCTCACAGTGATCCTGGGAAGCAGGTGCGGGTTTCTATGGCTCATCCAAAGCCATAGGGCACAACCCCAGGATCAAGATGTGGAACTAGAACCCAGGTCTCCTTGGGACTGGCTCTGACACACAAAGGCTTGCATTGTGTGAGGATGTGAAGCCCATGCACCATGTGGGTCTTTCTGCTGTTGGGGGATTAGGATCCATTCCTGAACAGGGAGCCTGGGCTAATTCATGACTGAATTCACCTGGGGGGGTGCAGAAATTCTGTAACAGAGAGGAAGAACCAGTGGACAGAAACTTTCATTCCAGAATACGGGACTGTTTCCTATTGCCCAATGCACTGCCTCTGCCCCTTTGTGGTCCCTCTCCTTGGTACACCCGCATCCCACGTTCTCGCTCTAGCTAACGCCTCATACTTTGCAATTTACCTGGATATTTATATCTTCCAGGAAACCCCTGCCCCTCTCTGAAGCTGGATCAAAGGACAGTCCTCCAGGCTCCCACAGCACCTGATGATTTCTTACATCTTTATGCTTTCCACTGTGTATTAAAAGGGGCTGCATTCTTCCATGCTCCTGGAGAGGAAGAACAAATATTGTTAAAATGTCGATACTACCCAAAGCAATCTACATATTCAATGCAATCCCTATCAAAATAACACCAGCATTCTTCACAGAGCTAGAACAAATAATCCTAAAATTTGTATGGAACCAGAAAAGACCCCCAATAGCCAAAGCAAGCTTGAAAAAGAAAACCAAAGCAGGAGGCATCACAATCCCAGACTTCAAGCTATACTACAAAGCTGTAATCATCAAGACAGTATGGTACTGGCACAAGAACAGACACTCAGATCAATGGAACAGAATAGAGAACCCAGAAATGGATCCACAAATGTATGGCCAACTAATAATCTTTGACAAAGCAGAAAAGAATATCCAATGGAATAAAGACAGTCTCTTCAGGGGCGCCTGGGTGGCGCAGTCGGTTAAACGTCCGACTTCAGCCAGGTCACAATCTCGCGGTCCGTGAGTTCGAGCCCCGCGTCGGGCTCTGGGCTGATGGCTCAGAGCCTGGAGCCTGTTTCTGATTCTGTGTCTCCCTCCCTCTCTGCCCCTCCCCCATTCATGCTCTGTCTCTCTCTGTCCCCAAAAAAATAAATAAACGTTAAAAAAAAAATTAAAAAAAAAAAAAAGACAGTCTCTTCAGCAAGGGGTGCTGGGAAAACTGGACAGCGACATGCAGAAGAATGAACCTGGACCAGTTTCTTACACCATATACAAAAATAAATTCAAAATGGATAAAAGACCTAAATGTAAGGCAGGAAGCTATCAAAATCCTCGAGGAGAAAGCAG